CCCCTGGCCCCCACCCCCCAATTCAAGCCCTACCCGAGAGCCGAGCCCGTTGGCCATGCCACCGGCGCTCCTCCTTGCCACGCCGGCCACCGGCACCACCTCCTCCTCCGCCGGAGACTTGGTCCTCGGGGGCACGATGCCCACTGCGGAGTAAATCCAAACACCAGGCTGAACCCCCCCGGGGGCTACGGGCAGGGTCCCAGCAAGACCCTGGGTGCTCCTGGCGAGCATGGGGAGCCCACCGGAGCGGGACCCGCGATCCCGGTGCCGTACCCTTGTTGAGAGCCGCTTGCTTCTCTGCCTCCTGCTCCTGCCGGCTCTGTGGGAGCCCCTCAGCTGGGGGCCCGGGGGGGGACGACCACTGCGTCTCTTTCTTGCTCTGCTCGAAGCTCGGCTTGGGCTGCGGGAGGGAAGCAGGTCCCCGGTGAGGCCTCGTCCTGCCTGGGGGGCCAAGCTCTGTCTGGGGACAGACCCGCTGCTCTCCGCAGCCACGGGGTGACACACAGCCTGTAGACACACTCCAGGGGGGCGGACGGACACACAGACACCAGCCAGGCGGTACCAGCGCACCCCAAAAGTGTGTGGGGAGGGGCTGGCAGGGCTCTGCAGCTCTCACCCCCGCGATGTCCCAGCCCGTCGGGACTGGGCACCTCCCGATCACTGTCCCCGTGGGAAGAGGTTCCCTCAGGGGTCATGACCCTGCCACGGCTCAGAGGTGGCACCGGGATGGGGACACCCTGGCCCTGGGCTCAGTTCCAGCAACATCCTGTGCCCACGGGAGGGGATGGGGTCCCACAGGAGCAGACACTGTGCAGCAGCAGAGAGCAAGCAAAGGGGACATTTTTGGGGTCCTTCCCTTCTTGCATCCCCTGGGCGCAGCCTGCCAGTGCCCAGACACTGCTGCAGTAGTGCTGGTGCAACGGAGGGCTACGGCAACCAGCTGAGGAGCCCAACGTGCCCCCCTTGACCACCCTGTGCTCTTTATGGAGATCAGGCGTCCCCACAGCCCTTACACCCCATGGATCAGCACGCAGCCACAGCCTGGCTACCCTGCGCAGCTGCTGCAGATGCCACACGCACTGGCAGAGGGGTCTGTAACCCTCCCCAACTCAGCACCGCCGCTGCTTCGTGGTGCCAGCCCCCATGTGCACACATCCTGACCCCCCCACTGCAAGGACACTGGTGTCTCCTGGTGTCCAAACCTGCTCCTTTCCCCCGGCCAGGGAGCACGGCTGGGGCATTACCAGGAATTCCCAAACCTGGGTTTGTCCCGGGTGGGCAGGAGTTGGGGGCGGGGGTGTCACCCCCATCAGCAGAGCTGCACGGCGGGGAGCGGCGCCGCGGAAAGACAGTGAGAGAGGCAGAGGAAAGCAGAGGGGCTGATACCAGGGGCTGCAGCTGCTTTGGGGACTGCCCAAGAGGAGCCACTCCCTGTCCGGAGCGAGCGCAGCGGGTGCTGCAGGTGGGCGCAGGGGACCTGGCAGGGACAAGAGGACCACGGCAAGGCCGCTGGGGGGGACATCACCCTTGGAGAGGGCAGTTACTAGCCACACGCTGCTGTCCCCTAGCCAAGTGCCACCTCCACGCTGTCCCTGTCCCCACTGCCAGGGCAGAGGGTGGGTAGCCCCATTGCCTGCCTCATCCCAGCCCTTGCCAGTTGATGTCTCGGGGAGGAAGAGGACGGGGCTGCTGCTGCAGGGCTGCTCTGGAGAGGTTCGGTACCTGTCCCCTCTTCGCCTCGCCGCCTCGCTGCCAGGAAGGGGAGGTGGGGTACGGCCAGAGCCGGCTCTCGCCGGGGAGCGGAGGAACACTCGGAGGAGACTCCAAGGGTACGTAGGACTTGGGGAGGGGAGGTCGAGGCGGGCCTGGTTCCTGGGGTGGAGAGGAGCGTGAGGCATGAGAGCAGAGACACTGAGAGCCGGGAAGGAAGAGACAGTTAGAAAAAGATCGAGGTAACACACAGTGGAAGTGTCGAGTCAAGGAAAGGAGGAGGGAGAGCAGCCGGCCACCGCTCCCCGGGGCTCCATGGCCTCCGTGTCCCCATGCAGAGGGGGACAGCGCTTTCCACCTCCTGCGCTGCCCTCACTGCTGCATGTCCCCAGGGCAGTAGGGCCAAGCAGGGCTCAGGGGGCTAACCAAGCTGGGGGGCTCCTGAGCTTGGGGCTGGCAGCCCCCAGGAGACATTGGTATCACCTCTGCGCAGCCAGGTGGGAGTGGGGAGTCCCCCACATTCCACCCCAAACTTCATGTGGACCAAGGCAAGCCCAGCACTGCCGGACCCCAAGCAAAAGGGGACTGTGGTGGCAGCAGGAGCTGGTCCTGAAGCCAGAGGCTGGAGCTGAGCCGTCGGGGCTGCTTGATGCAGGAGCCCAAAGGCTCCAAAGCCCAGCTTGCAACCCTGTAAGGACCATGAACCCAGACGTCACCAGGGGACTGGCTTTGCAGGGCCCTGTGGTGCTCCAGGTTGGCTTTGCAGAGCCCCACAGTGCTGGACGTGGCCAAAACGGTGCCCCCAGGCAAAGCCACGAGGGAAACCCAGGCGCACTCTGTGCCTGGTGCCCACCCGTCCCCTGAGAGCGAGGGCTCAGGCCAGGCTGGGGACCTGCTGGTGACAAAGGGCTCCCTAGGGACCCCCCAGCTCACTCACCTCACCGGGTCCTGGCTTGGTGGGAGAACCCTGGGAGCCGGAGACGAGGGAGAAGGGGCTGAGGGGACTGGTGAGGCTGGCCGAGCTCAGGGGGCTGGCGGGGCTGTTAGAGCTGTACGTCCCCGAGGGGCCGATGGCCACTGTGGAGAGAAGCAGAAGTAAGTGTGAGCATCGGAGGCTCTGCCTCTGCGAGCGGGTGCTGCCATCTGCCTCGCAGCAGCACAGGCACCAGGGATGTCCTCATGGCACGCTGGGGTTTGTGCTGTGCAAGGGCAAGGATGGATCCTGCTCACCTCTGTGCTTGGCAGTGTCCGTGCCGCGGGATGGGTTGTTCTTCCTCAACCCCTCCATCACGTCTTGGATCCTCCAGATCTCCTTCTGGATCTGCCGGTTGAGCATTTCATTCTGGAGGGGAGAAAAGGCAGCGGTCAGAGTGGCTCCCACTGCTGCCAGCCCCGCTGCACCCCAGCCCTGAGCCGTGGGACCCGCGGACGTTCAGCTGAGGCAGACACAGCCCGGGGGGATCTGAGCCATCGCACCCACGACTTGTCTCCTGCCAGGAGCCATCGTTCCGCTCCCCTGGGCACCCACCACGGGCTGGGGGGAGCTGATGGAGCCCCAGCAGCATGGGGAGTGCTGGGATGCAGCCCCTCGATGGCACCCAGGTGCCCACGGTTCCTCAGCCCCTCTGCCCGTACCCGTGGCCAAAGCTGGACACCGAGGGCTGAGCATGGAGCAGCCACATGCAGACCAGCTCTTTGCGGGGAGCAGATTCTGAAGGAAACAGGGAGCTTCCACCTCTACGGGGTCAGCGGGGGGACCCTGGGAATGGCGGGGGGAGTCTGGGACTGGGGGGGGTCCCACTCACCTGGATGTCCAGGTTCAGCTGCTCCCAAAGGTCGTCGTGCAGGGCAGACACTTCGCTCTCCAGGCTCTCATACTCAGCGGTGCTATTCGCCAAGGCCTGGGGAGCGGGGAAAGGTGGGTGGGTTAGGGGGTCTTTGGCAGGTTTTTTCCCCCAGCTGGCAGCAGCCACGGCCCGTGCAGTGGATGAGGATGCTGCACACAACACAACCCGCCCTGAGCCGTGGCGGGGCTGGCAGCTGGGGGGTACCAGCTGTGCCGTGCCCCAGGCAGGCTGTGCCCATGGCAGTGCCGGTGGCACAGTGGTGCCAGGGAGCCCGAGGTGGAAGCAGGAGCTGAGATGGCTCAGGACACGCCTGCCAGCGCAGCACCACGAGGGTTAATTCTTTGTACCCCCTGAGAAGGACTTGGGCTCCTCTGGGACCCCAGCCAGCTGAGGGGATTTCCCTTCTTGGTCTTTTTTTTTGTTTTTTTTTTTTGAACAGGAAGGGATTTTTTTTTGAACAGGAAGGGAAAAAAAGAGATCGCAGTAGGTGGGGGAGACAGTCCCACAGCAGGGCTTGGGGCGGAGGGGAGCCCGTTACCGTGCTGGCCTGCGACAGCTCCACGCGGATGTTGATGAGCTGGTTCTGGAGAGACTCCTTCTTGTGCAGCAGCTTCTCCGGGTAGGCAGGCTGGCTCCCAAACATCTCCAGCTCCTGGTGCGTCCCCATCAGGGCACTCTCCAGGCTCTCCTGGGGGGATGGGGGGTGGGAGGGAGATGCAGTTGTGAGAGCCTGGCTGGTGCAGGTGCTACAGTCCCTCTCCTTAACAGGCCATTAACACACGGGGAGTCCTGGGACTGTGGCATGGCCAGAGCATCTCCCCCAGCTCAGAAACGTCCCCACTGAGCTGTCCCCAAGAGAGCAGGACATGTCACTTCCTCGCCACAAAGGTGCTGGCTGGGCACGGCCATCACCATGCAGCTGGGTTCATCCCTGGACGGCCGCTCGAGCTGCTCACCACGTACCTTCTCTGCTCGGAGCTGCTGCACCAGCCTCTCCTGCTCCCGCAGCACCTTGTTCTGCTCACAGAGCTTCCCCAGCAGCTTCTGACCCCAGGAGGAAAAGAGAAAGGGAGGAGAGGATGAGAGCCCAGCCACGGGGTGTCCACACACCCGTGCAAATGTCTCGGTGCTCAGCCAGGGCCAAGCCCCTGGGAGACACGAGATGCAGCTGGGACATGGCCCAGGGGGTCGGTTTGATGGTCCCAGGGAGGGTTTCCAGCCCGCTGCTCTCATTGCAGGGACTTCAGCCTCGGCCAACGTGACACCAGCCAAATCTGGACATGGGGCAAGACCAAGCAGCTTAAGCTCAGCAGAGGATTTAGCCCCCGAGCAGCACACACCGCGCTTGGGGCAGCACCAGCTCCCACTCCGGGAGCACATGGCACAGCTCTCTCCGTGGGGATAAGAGATCTGAGGTGGGGGACAGGGACAACAGCACGGGGCAGAGGGGGGACATGCAGGATGGACGTTTGCTCTTACATCGGTGTCTTGCTCGCTTATCTTGTAGGCATGCAGCGTCTCCCTGTAGGCCTCCGGGAAGGGCGTCACCTGGAAGCAGAGCGTGAGGTGAGCCCCGCTCCGGGAAGCCCTGGGGAAGGCGAGGCAGCTCCCAGCCCCTCTCCCCCATCGCCGTGAGTGGGAAAAGAGAGCCGAGAGCCGAGTCTCCGGAGGCAGTGGGTGCTCCAAGAACCCGGGCAGACACCAGCACTGGTTGGGAGGCAGCGGGTGCTGCCGGTGGCGCGGGATGTCGGTGCTGGAGCTCTCGCTCCGGCTCGGGTGAAGGCACAACCTCCCTCCCCGTTCCCAGCCCCCGGTGCCCATCGGCCGGGTGAGGCATGGGAATGAGCCAGAGACAACCCCTCCGCAGAACGCCAAGAGCTGAGTTAAAGAGAAGCCTCGTGAATCATTAACTGCCTGGTGTACAACTGCCACCATTTCACAGGCGGGGAAACAAAGGCAGAAAGATTAAGCTGTAATCCCACTTTGCAGAGTGGAAACACCTATAAATCAGCAGCTGCATCAGGGCCTGTTTACCATCCGGCTTCTCTGTGAGTCATTTTCCTTTCCTGGAAATCTAAATTACTAATGGGACCTCAACAATTAAATGCCTCCAAGAACTCGAGATGAAAGACATCAGATAGGAAGGAGGGGATCATTATTGCTAGAAAGCAAGACGCTACTTTAGAGCCATTCAAAACTCCAGGACAATGCAAATAGACCTGAACCTGGGAAATGCCCAGCGCTGCAGGCAGAGCCTGGCAGATGGGGGTGCTGCTGCCTCCAGGCAAGGAGCCCGGCCAGCCAGAGCATCTCGGCAGCTCCAGCTTCACCCTCCAGCATGTTCCCGTGCCCTGTTTGCAGCAGGATGGAAACAGGCGCCAACCCCAGAGATCGCCCGGCCGCTGCACGCTGCACAGCCAGGAGATGCCCTGGGCAGCACGATGGGGCCCTGTGACCCCTCTGGGCTGGCGGCACAAGGGGCTGTGGGTCGCAGTGACCCGGAGACACGTTCTCAGGATCTGCCCACGCTTGGAGCTGCAGCCCAACATCAGCAGGGACATCCCACTGCTTTTGCGGGGTAAAGTAAAAGGCTGTTTCCTCTCCTTGCTACGGGAGTTTAAGCGCCTTGGGCTGGATTCCTGTCTTTAAGTCATCCCACACCTTCTCCTTGTCTCATCAACGCGCGACAGCAAACAGAGGGTGAGCAAAACACCCGAGTCCAGCCCAAACGAGGATGAGAGGCCAGGATCGCGGCGTCCCCACCTCATGCTCTCAGCACAAGGATTTACTGGGTTTTAATGGCTCATGGATGGATTAGCAAAGCCTGGGATGAACTAGCAGGTCCCCAAGAGCGTGATGTGCCAGAGCCTCATGGATGCTGGAGTCTGCATGAGTGGAAATGGCAGGAGGTGACCTCGGGGATGGAGCGTGGGGTGGCTGGTGTGGCTGCCATGCATGAGCCATGCACGGCTCGGTGGCCGGAGGCTTACTTGCATGTAGAGCTGAGCCCTAGGGGAGGAGGTCTCCACCATCCTGTTCACCATACTGATCAGGGTTTCGCTCTCGCTCATCTGCGGCAGACAGGGAAGGAAAAGTTCAGAGGTCAGCGGAGACGTGCTCGCGTGCCGCGGTGCTCAGGTGCCGTCGGAGCAGCGAGGAGGCTCAGTCCAGGAGCCCCCAGGGCATCGGGCTGCAAGAAGCCACCTCCAAGAGATGTCCCAGGTGCTTGAGCCATGTGGGGACGGCTGCCCCAGGCTGCTGCTGCTCCGTTTTGTGCACTCAGGAGCATCCTGGGCTGGTGGCATGCCCTGGAAACTTTGTTGAGGGGAAAACACGGATAAAATCGAGCCAGCTTGGAGCTGGGCAGCAGCAAACTGCACACACAGACACAAGCTTGCACAGAGACGCTCCCGGCTGCAGCACAGTGTGGTCCCAGCAGACAGACAGACGGGTCCCGCTCCTGGTGTTGACAAAAAGCTCAGTGTCCTGCCCTCGCTGCAGAGCTGGGGATGGGATGGCCCCGCTCGGGGCGCAGATGAGCTCTGGGAATAGCGAGAGGTGACTGATGCCTGGGGTTGGGGACAGCAGCATCCCCCCCTGTCCAGGCCAGCAGCCTTGAGCAGCAGAGCCGGGTGGCAGCGGGGTGCTCCTGGGGACATGGCACATCACGGCCACGCTGCTGGGCAGGGCAAGGATGCGACGGCGTTCACCATGGCTGTGCCTCCCCAGAGAGCCTCCAGGGGAGCAGGACAGACCCCAACCCTGCGGCCTGTTCACCCCCTGCAACCCAGAGGGGGTTCTGCTGCTCTCCGTGCGCTGCCGGGGCGCGCAGCCAGCGACGGCCGCGGGGTCCCTCGGTGCTGCACGATGGAGCCGCTCAAATCAGCAGCACCGGAGCTTTGCCGCTGCCTTCGCCTGCAGGATCCTGCAGCCCAAAACGGACGATGCAAGGGAAGCCCCTCGTACCCCACGGCCAGGACCCTCGAGGTCCAAGGGGTGAGGGCAGTTTGAGCACAACCCAGGGACCCATCCCTGACTGGGTCAGCGAGGTGGGGTGCGGCCAAGTGAGCCGTCCCCGCAACTGGACAAGCAAGGAGAGAGAAAGTAAAGCAGCAAGTTGTTTCAAAAGAGATACTTGACAGCGTTGCTCCGAATTAGTCTCTCCAGAGGTCAGCAGGAGAGGAGGAGCAGATGCAAAGCCTTTTTAGGGAGTGTTTTAAAGAGCCTCGGAGAGCACACATGGCTGCCGATGGCTGTGAAATAATCCAGAGAGCTTTTATTGCAGCGAGAGCTCCTGCCTGTCCTTGGCTCAGCTCCAAGGCAGACACAGATCTTGGCGATTACTGCATCGATGGAGATTTGCAGACTAATGAGATTGTCTCTGGAGCAGCTCCCTCAGTGCAAGCCTGGCTTTTGCAGGCAAGCGCCTGGGGTTGCAGCACTGGCCGACAGCTCCTGTCCTCGGCTTTGACTTCAGGTGGTGCCTGCGGTTCCCACCCCACCGGTCCTGCAGCTCTCCCCGAGCTGGATTGCCCCCACCCTGCTCCTGGGATGAAACCAGTTCACAACTTTCCTCCGAAAAACCCCGTGACATGCAAAAACCTGAGAGCTGCTCTTTCAGTATCAGTCCTGGTGGGTGCCTCACCCCCACCCTGCATCAAGCCTCTCGCCTTTGAGGAGGAACAGGGTCAGCGTGTCACCAAAACCACCTCGCACCCATCCGGCTCCCCACGGCTCACCCAGTCACCCCCTGCAATGTGGGGGGCACCAGCCCTGGGACCCGGCTCGCACCAATTCCCAGTGTGGGGACACAACGTCCAGCACAGCCACGCTGGCACCACGCACCGGTGTCCCATGCTGCCCCGAGACCAAGCTGGGGAGGGTTTCAGAGCCGGCTGCCTCCCCTGCACCCCAAGGGCAGCTCCCCAAGGGCCCGGATACATGGGAAGCTGCCCCAGCTCCCCCCAAGACCCCCCCCACCGGCTCCAGCACACCACACAGAAGGCGCCATTGGGGGGATTTTTCTGCCAAGCAATGAGCGACCCTACAGAAGGGACGGATGGAAGAAGCAAATCAAAGCCAACTCGTGCTGCTTTAATGCCAAGAAGGATGAGGATGGCTGTTAGGGGAAGAGATGCTGCGCTGGGAGGGGAGGGGATGCTGCTGGGGACAGGGCACACGGGGACGTAAGCAGTGTGAGGCTTGCAGCCAGCTCTGCCTACCTGCTGGTCCAAATACTCTAGGTTTCTTTGCAACTGAAGGTCTAAAAGTTCATCCTACCAGGAGCCAGCAGGCATGCGGCAAGAAACGAACACACAGAACATATAAAAGAAGAAGCAAAGCGGTTAGGTGAGGGCTACGGAAATGCGAAGACCTCTCGGCCGGGGAAGCGAGGAGCCTCCCTGGCCCAGCCGGGAGAGCTGCCGTGGATGTGCCCCGCGGGAGACCCGCTCTGCTCCCGGCTCTCCCTCCCGGCTCCCGGTGCCTCAGAAGAGGTGACGGCCCTTTTCCCGCGTCTCCGGCTAGCAAGGATGGATGGCAGCATGGGTGCTTTATGGTAACTGGTGCTTGTCCCTCCTCCAGCAGCCGGTCCTGCCCCGCACTTTGGGGACCGTGCTTTGCCGGGGTCTCAGCCCCCTCAGCGCTCCAAGGGGAAACACAACGCAGGAAAAAGCAGCAGCTGTAGCCAGAAGTGAGGAAAGCAAGAGGGGGAGAGGTGCAGGGTGCCAGCCTCAGCCTGGGACCACCCTGCAGGGGGACAAGCCCAGCCCAGCATCACGGGGCATACAAGGGTCCAAGGGTGTCCCAGTGCCCCCGTGACCTGGGGGCTGCAGGACAGGAACTGGGGGCCTTGCCGTGAGGGTTTTTTCCTTTGGGCACAGCTGGGAGGGACCAGAGACACCGACCTGCCCCATAGCAGCCCAACTCTGACCCCCAAAGCTGCCCCTGGAGCGGTTCCTCCTCGGCTGTCCGAGCAAAAAGCCCCCGAGCTGATCCACCTTCCTGGGGGGCTCTGTGCACCCCAGTCCGCTGGGGCTCACCCCCCTGGTGCCAGCAGCGTACGTACCATTTTGTCGTGGACGTTGGGGGATGCCGGGTAGTGGTACGGATACATTCCCGCAGGCATGGGCCGTCTGTCACCCAGGTAGTCGTACTGAGAAGAGAAGGAGCCCCCCCACCCCAAAACCAGAGACACATGAGAGGTGTGTGAGGCAAGGGCAGCCCCCAGCCCCGCAGCAGGGTCAGGCCTGTTTTTTGGGGCACGCAGTAGTGAGACAGGGACACCAGCGCTCCCTGCTTGGGAGCACATCACTCGTGGCAGCCCCGAGCACCCCATTCCCCTCCTGCCCCACCTCTCTGAGCTCCTGGCACCCAGGAGGGAACAACCACGACCTGGGCAGCTTTGCAGGATGGCAAAGGGGGACCTAAAGCCACCGGCTGCTGCACACCATGGACTTGGTGGCATTTTGAGGCCAGGCTGTACATGCCAAGGGGACAAGCTACGCCGCAGCATCCCTGCCCTGACACCCCAGACACCCCCTGACACCCCTGCCCCCTCCAACCCTGTGCACCCCAGGCACCGCCGGAGCATTTACCTTTGGAGAACTGATGGATCGCCTCATCATGAAGGTGGCGGGGTCGGCGTAAATCTCATCCCCCCGGGGCGGCAACCGCTCGAAGCGGGCGCTGGGCGAGCGCACCGGGGAGTAGACCCGCGCCCGGGTGTAGGAGCCCTGGCTGGGCGAGCGGGGCACGGAGCGGGAACGGGGCTGCAGCGACATTCGTCGCAGAGAGCCCGAGGCTGCATCCACCTCATCCAAGTAGGTCGGTTGCCTCCCAGGACCGGGTAGCCAAAGCGGGACGTCTTGCCGGCCAAACCCGGGGTGCTCTTTCCAGTCACGGAGCTGGTAGGTGCCCCCGTTGCGGAAGGAATGCCGCTTGTCCTCCAGCGCCCAGGGCGGGCTCACCCGCTCGTAGGCGGGCATGGAGCAGATGCTGTCGGGGCGCACCCCGGGTGGGTAGTACTGGTAGTCCTCGGGGTACTGGGGCGAGTAGGGGGAATAGTAGTCGGGCACCCGGCGAGACACAGGGTAAAACCTGGTGGGGCTAGAGAGGAGAAGAGAGCCGTGAGAGCCAGGCTGGTGGCCAGGCAGTGCCCCAGCCCCTTGCTCTGCATCCGGGGGGGCCGGTGGGCAAGGACAGGCTTAGAGCAGGTAGCCCTGACACCAGCATCTGGAAAGCTGGCTGGCAACCATCCTCCCAGGGACCTCAGGGTGGCCTCTCCTCCTGGCATCCCCTCCTCCCAGGGACCCCAGGGTGGCCTCCCCTCCAAAATTCATCCTGTTCAGCTTTTTCGGGTGTCCTACACACAGCTCAGAGCTGGCAGATGTGGACAGCAGAGAAAGAAGATTTTCTGACCCCAGGAGGGGAGAAAGTAGATGGGAAGGGGAAAAACATTCCTCGAGAATCACCTGAGGGGCAGCAGGAGAAAAGGAGCAGGACCCCTCTCTACCCCTGGCCAGCCCCCCGCAGCCCTCACCTCCGCAGCTCCTCGGGGGGCACGGCCCCCCGGCGCGAGTTCACCCACTGCTGCAGCTGCGTCATCGAGCTCTTGCGCTGGGCGATCTTCTCGGGGTTGGTGCGGGGGGCAAAGCCCCGGCGCTGGGCCACGCTCTCCCCGTCGGGCGGGGGGTACGCGGTGCTGCCGGGGCGGCTGGGCGAGGAGTAGGGCCAGCCGTTGGGCTGCGGCGGCCGCTCCACGCTTGCCGGTACCCGGGGTGCCTCGGGGTAAGGACTTCCAGGTTCTGAGGGCATCTCCTGCCCGGCAATGCCGTTGACTTTGGCCAAGGGCTCCTTCTTGCTCTCCATCCTCTCTGACTTCCTCTCGATCTTCTCCGAGCCACGGCCGTCGCCTTCGCCCCGGGTCTTGGCGTCTGGGTCAGCTTTGGGGTGCTCGCGGTGGGTGGTGTTGCAGTGGTGGTGGTGGTGGTGTTTGCTGGGGGGGATGTTTTCAGAGTCTGGCTTCTCGTGCCTGGGGAGGTGCCAAGACAGGAGGGGAGGGTTACACCTTCCCTTTGCAATGCCCCTGGGGTGGCTGGTAACGTCCTGTCCCACCCTCAGCCTTGGGGGGCCAATGCTCCCCCAAATCCACTCTCCAGAGGGACCTTCCCCACGATGCACATCTCCTCCGCCCCATCTCCAAGAGTCATGGGGAGACGGCGGGCACTGACCTCTGGGTCGGGGGGATCTGCACCCGGGCAGCTTCGCCCATGGCTTGGATCCAGGATTCCTGCTCCTCCGTGTTCTCGGCGCTGAAGAAGTAGGTCCGGATGCCAGCGTGCTCGGCCTGGGGAGACAGGGACTGCTCGTTACTCGCCGGCATCTCCTCCACCCAGCACACCGTCACCTGCAGGGAGGCAGAGAAGAGGGGAAAGAGACACACAGGAGGGTGAGAGCTCCATTTCCACCCTGGCACAAGAGCCTGCTGCCTCAGGAGAAGCCAGACACGGTCCTTCCCCGCTGCCCAAGGCTCGTGGCCACGTGCATCCTCAGAGGGCACCGAGCAGGAGGAAGGCTCTGCAGGCAGAGCCAGCGCCAGCCCTTGTCCCCTTACAGGGGATCCCCCAGAGCCACAAGTGCCCCGTGGTCACCCCCAGTGATGCTCAGGACCAGCCCTCCCCAGGACCCCAGCGCAGAGGCTGCTGCATCCCAGCATCAAGCGGGTCCCCACGGGGCGCACGGGGCCGGTTGAAGGGTCCTCACGTCCCAGCGAGAGCGGCAGCGCCGGAGGGAGCAATATATCCATGCAAGGTTAGGGGGAAGGTGGCTTCTTGGCCCAGACAACATTTTTGGGGAAAAAGGTTCGCTTTTGGTCCAAGATGTCAGTGCTCATTCTCCACCTGGAAATAGGTCTGGCTATTTAGGGCCTTTTCAAACTTCCACCTTCCCCCTCTGTGGAAAGGGATGGGACATGGTGAGGAGGAAGAAAAGGGAGAAAGCAGGAAGTTTTTCTCCCGGAAAGATTTTCAGGGCTCAATGTACTAAAAAAATAAAATTAAAAAAAAAAAAAAAAATCGACATCTGGTTAAAACCCTCCCTTGGGTTTCCATCTTCCCCTTCCCCAGAGCATGCAGCCACCGTGCCCAGCCGCGGGGTCACCTCCTGCCTCTAAAAGCTCCACAGCCAGAGCAAAAGACCAAACCAAAGAGATTCATCCCCCGGATTAGTGCGAGCAGGGTGCGCGGAGCATGCCGGCAAGCCTGGGGGTCCCTCACCCATCCGCATGCATCAGAAACACAAGAAGGTACTACCTAGGTGGTGGCTGGGTGCTGGCGTGGCGGATGGGCACGAAGAGAAACCTCCTGTCCGGGGATCCTCGCCCGCGGAGAGAGGAGGAAACACAGACACGGGGTCAAGCTGCAGCAGGGCGGGGGCGCGGGCGCTGCAGCACAGACCTCTCCTGGCCATCAGGACTCTTTTTACCCTTCTCTGAACAAAACCATCCCCCCAAACCCTCGTGTGCCGATGGGAGGGCAGGCCCGCACCGGCAGAGCTCGGTTTGCGGGCAGCAGCTTTGCAAGGCTCCTTCCCCACCAGTGCCACAAGCTGAGAGAGACATTTGGGCATCTCCAAGCCACTTCTCTGCTCTCGCTTGTGGAGACACCCCGTTGGCTGCAGGAGAGCCCACGTGTGGCTCCTGGTTGGCGCTGCCGCTTGCCAACGCTCACCCCGAAAGCAGCTGGTGGCTTAAACGCAAGTTTAAGGGTGGCAGCTATAAAAATCCATCCCTTAAGAATGGAAAAACTCCTCGCAGTGCCCTGCAGGGACCCTGGGCTCCTGAGGAAGGTGAACGCTGGTTTTTGGCACCATGTACAGGAGTAGAAGCCAGCCCGTGCATCGGTCCCTTGGCAAGCGAGTGCTAAAGAGACCATGGGCAGCACACGCAGTTGTGTTGGTGAAGCCAAAGGTGCCCGGTGGTGCCAACAAGTGCCGTGCGGTGCCAGGGAAGCTCAGCCCCTGCTCTGAGCGAGGGAGAGACAAGATCTGTGCCGGGGGCAGGTGTGGGACAGCCCCGGCTGCAGCAGCCGCCCTCCGCCTCTCCAATACCCATGGCAGCGCAGGCTGACGAGCAGCAACTCGTTCCGAGCTACCCCTTTGCAATTACATTTCTCTTTCCTCTGCACGCCAGTCAAAGCAGGCTTTAAAAAAAAAAAAAATTGGAGCTGGGGACACCTCTCTCTCTCTGTCTCCGGGAGTTCTGCCGAGAAGTGCCGCAGCGGCCGGGGGTGGGGGGGGACAGGCTGGCCGGGATCAGCGATGCAGAGGGGAAAGTGGGGCAGGGAGAGGGCCAAGAGCACCGCCAGCGAGGGCAGCACTGCTGCTCATCCTGCACCCAGCACCCCCCCCCGGGATGGGGGGCAGCACCGCACCCCAAGGGGCAGAAGCTGATGGCCTTGGAGATGCTGCTTTGCCCCACGTGTGCCTCAGTTTCCCCAGCAGAAGGCACATGTGCATAGCACAGGGTATCCCCGGGGTGTGGGGGGGTTACTGCCATCGCCCCTCTCCCCAGCTTGCTCCGCACCAAGAAAGCAAAAGGAGGGAACAGCGGGGCCACCCCAGTGCTGTCCCAGCGCGCGGTCCCCTCCGAGCCCTGGCACAACCAGGCACTGACCTTGAACGTGTGCTTCCTGCTGATGTTGTCCGAGGGCTGCACGGCGGCCACGCGGAAGCTGAGGAGGGGGATGCTGCCCAGGATGCTCTCCTCCTTCTCGTCTGGTGGGCAAACGTGGCAGGGGGTTGGTTACACACACGGAGGGGCTGGGAGCCCCAACTGCCCCCCAGCAAAGACCCACGAGGTGCTGCGGGGACACGCCATGGCCCCGTGCCGCGGGTGGGCAGGCGGGCAGGGCACCTGTGGGAAACCGCTGCCTGCCTGTTGCTCGCCAGCTCTGCCGGGCTCGCACAACAGCCTGCTCAATTATTCATGCCCGCCCTCGGCTGCGCTGCCAGGGCTGAGCCCAGCAGAGCTGCCAGGGAAGCCGCGGAAGGCGCCTGTGTTAACCCCTCGGGTCCCCAGCGTGGCAAACAAAGGGGTGCCGTGCGTGGCCACCGCTCCCCGGCGTGGCTCTCACCTCCGGACCCCTTTGCCCACGCTGGCAAAACAGGCTCCAAGCCTGGGAACAGCCCAGGTTTGCACAGAGGCACCCAGCTGGTGGCCACTGGGTCCTGCTGTGGCTGGTGGCCACCAGGTCCTGCTGCGGGGGGGCACGAGTGGCTGGGGGGGCACCCGGGGTGGGCACACGCTGCCATACCTTTGTAGTAGAAGAGGCAACGATCCACCAGCACGAACCAGCGCTTGTTCCACTGCTTCACCCCCGAGCTGGCCTGCGAGAGAGGGGTGGTGAGAGCAGCACCCACCTGGGGAGGGGATGGCACAGACCCAGGGGGGGCACCCGGCACGGTGGGGGCTCGGGTACCTGTTTGTAGAGCCAGCCGCTTTTAGTCACGGCGGCGTTGGGGTTCCTCTTCATGGAATTGGAGCGCTTCCCGAAGGCGATGCCCTTGCGGGAGGAGCGTGAAGCCTGCAGAGGGGGAGAGGAGCCGCTCAGTCCCCGGGGGGGCTCCTGACACCCCGTCTGTGCTGCTGTCTGTCGTGCTGCACGGCTCCGGGCACCCACCCGGCCTCCGGGGCGCTCCGGGGGCACCTCCGACACCATGGCGTGGTTGGAGGGCTCACTGGGGATGGTCGCCGGTCGCTTGTTGCCCGTTTTGCTTGACATGTCCAAGGTCGGTCTGTGGCACAGGAGGAGAGCTGAGTCAGCAGAACCGCATTTCACCACCCCGCAGGAGCTGGCCCCTGGTATCCTCACCCCCAACACCAGCCCCCTACACCCCAACCAACCTTGGTGCCCCATCACACCCACTCCCAGACCCCAAAACCAGGGGAGTCGGGAGCCAACATACTTTTGCAAGTCAAGCCTTGAGCTGTCCTCAGGGACCTGTCCCGTCACTGGGTGCAGGAACGTGTTCCGCCTTTCATTGTGGCTGTGAGAGACAGTGGTGGGGCGGTGGTTAGTGTCCCCTATCTCCGTCCCCCCCGCAGAAACCCGTTGTCTTCAGCACCACATTTGCTGCTCCAACCCCCGTCCCATGCCTGCGCCTTGCCCCGAGCATCCCCCGCACCCCACTAACCCCACGCTTCAGATCTCAGCACATTTCGTTGTTTTTTTCCCAGAAAGCCATTGCCTTGCTCGGAGACAAAATGAGGTCTCTGGTGGCTGAGCCCTTGTTACTTCTGCTGGTCACATCCCAGATATTACCATAAACCCCGCTCAGAAGTCGCTGCAGAAGCAGTGGCAGCAATGGTCCATCCTGGGCTGTGCCCGCAGCGACGGCCCCAACATCACGTCCTCCCCTTCCCTCGCTGATTTTACAGCCATTTGCCAAAACACCTCGAGTCAGCGTCACCTGGGCACGCAGGGCTGTGCACCACGGAACGAAACATCAGCCCAGGACCCACCACCACGAGCTGTTGCGGCTGGATCAGGCCCAGCTCAGCCCCAACCCTGGTGCTGCTGCGGTGATGCCGGGGTATAGCCAAAGGCGGCTGCCCCGGGGGGTGCAGGGCTCCCTGGCAGCACCGGGAGGAGGGAGGCAGGGCTCCCACCGGGCTCGACTGGCAGCATTTGCCACGTCCCTGCCCCGTCCCGCAGAGCCGGTATTGCTGGGCACCCTGGCACCTCGCAGCTCCGGCTGGGGAACGCGCTCACACGGCGGTTCCTGGGGTCCCTCGCTGCTGGAGCTGTGTCAGGAGAAAGGACGAGGTGTACCCACAGATTGAGGGCTTGGACCCCGTCCCCGGGACATCCCTCATTCCCAGAGCTGCCGGGCACCAGGACACCAGTGTCCCCGGCCACCCGCAAAGCCGACACGCCGACAGCCCGGCACGCTGCTGAACTTCTGCGTGTCAGCAAAACAGGGGAAGTTTGAGCAAGAAAACGCAGCTGCCAAGACCGTCCCATCCACACACGCTTCACCCTGAACCTGGGCTCCAGCCAATCTGAAGATATTAACCGCTTTCTGCCCAAAAAAGCCCTGCTGTGAGCTGCTTCCCCTTGCAGGTTCCATCCTGCACCCTGGCACGGATCTGCTCTGCCCTGCCAGCACTCCCCCTTGCTTGGGGTCACCTTAAAAACCTGAGCAACGTGTAGGCACCCCACAACGAGGGGCAGCACCCGCTCCCCCAAACCCCCCAGCACCAGGTTTTTCTGTGCCACGACCGACACGAGTTATCCACGGAGACAGCCTGCCCGGCCCACGCTCCGACAGCACCAAAGGGGGTTTCTGCCCCCCCGGGGCCGGAGCCGCTCTCGCACTGTTTGCCCTCGGCAGGTGACTCTGGCGGGGGGTAACACGGCGGTACCAGGGCTGGTCCCAGGCCCCCCCCGTTATGCTGACACAGGGGGAGGGTGCAAACACCAAGCAAGCAGCACCCCGACCGTCCCAGCCCTGGAAGGTGGGGGCTGCCAGACCTGTCAGTGCCTGAACCCCAGCCGCTTTGTGTTCCCACGGGCTGGACTCTCCCCCCACCCTGCCGCCGAGCCCAGGACACCCACCCTGCTCTGCAGCGCTCACCGCGCCTCCTGGCACCCAGGAGGGAACAACCACGACCTGGGCAGCTTTGCAGGATGGCAAAGGGGGACCTAAAGCCACCGGCTGCTGCACACCATGGACTTGGTGGCATTTTGAGGCCAGGCTGTACATGCCAAGGGGACAAGCTACGCCGCAGCATCCCTGCCCTGACACCCCAGACACCCCCTGACACCCCTGCCCCCTCCAACCCTGTGCACCCCAGGCACCGCCGGAGCATTTACCTTTGGAGAACTGATGGATCGCCTCATCATGAAGGTGGCGGGGTCGGCGTAAATCTCATCCCCCCGGGGCGGCAACCGCTCGAAGCGGGCGCTGGGCGAGCGCACCGGGGAGTAGACCCGCGCCCGGGTGTAGGAGCCCTGGCTGGGCGAGCGGGGCACGGAGCGGGAACGGGGCTGCAGCGACATTCGTCGCAGAGAGCCCGAGGCTGCATCCACCTCATCCAAGTAGGTCGGTTGCCTCCCAGGACCGGGTAGCCAAAGCGGGACGTCTTGCCGGCCAAACCCGGGGTGCTCTTTCCAGTCACGGAGCTGGTAGGTGCCCCCGTTGCGGAAGGAATGCCGCTTGTCCTCCAGCGCCCAGGGCGGGCTCACCCGCTCGTAGGCGGGCATGGAGCAGATGCTGTCGGGGCGCACCCCGGGTGGGTAGTACTGGTAGTCCTCGGGGTACTGGGGCGAGTAGGGGGAATAGTAGTCGGGCACCCGGCGAGACACAGGGTAAAACCTGGTGGGGCTAGAGAGGAGAAGAGAGCC